ATTTGGGAGGGATTTGTAATTTTGCCTGCAAGTTACATCTGGAAAATATGATTCTGATTCTTTTATTAGTAATTCATTAATCGATCATCAAAGCATTATAAAAGTATAGCTATATAGGTCCCCCACTCCACATCGGAATTGATCAATTTTTCTAAAAATTTTATGAAATTAATTAAGTAAAAAATTCCCAGCTGATAATTTTGCTAGTCCAGCTTTGATGCATTACGACCTGGAATTTTTGGGGTTGTCCTGTAAAAATCTCATGTGTAGATTTCATAAAAATTTTGATTTATCAAAAAAAATTTTTCTACACTCAAACTATGCAAATTTTGGTTTTTAATTTATTGATATTTTTTTTTCTTCAATAATTATATCCATAAGTATGTCTAAAGTTGATAATGACACATCCTTAGCCCCAAATCCTTTAATATCAATATGGGTTCTTTTAGAGGGCAAACCAAGTTCTGTGGAAATTCATGTTAAGCCAAGCGATTTTATATCACAAAGTCCTAATTTAAATGACTTTAAGCAAATTCTTAACCAAAAATTTAAGGCTCTTAAGGATGTAGAACCGGAAAATATTGAATTTTTCTCTGATAAGGATCAAACACAAACTTGTTTCGGTGGTGTGTTGCTAGCGGACCTTGTTACAACTGATTCATGTCCACTTATCATTCGATACCCGTTGTCCACATCGTGTAGTAAGTATAATACATTTTCATGTATTTATTTTTCTATAATGTCTAATACTCATTTATCTTCTCTGTAGTCATAGTAACTTATAAATCAGGGAACAGCAAAGTAAAAAAAAAACTGCCACACTCTAGCAGATCTTGGGATTTGCTACAAAAAGATGTTATAAGAAATTTTAGTAAATTATCAAAATTCGAAAATGCAAAAGTGGATGACCTCTATTTTGAAATCTCTGAAGGTAATGAAAAAAATCTTAAGGACGAGTTTCAATTTAATGAGCTCGTGGATCGGATCGAAGAAAAAGAGAAAAGACGAGTTCTTCTCGACCTTAAAGTCCAAATTAAAGGTATGTTTTTATATCTTGACCTAGTACGAAAAATGGTGTAAATATCCTAATTCAAACTCAATTAATAGATAAAAAACCTTATAATGAATGGAATATCAGAGATGTATTCACAAATGTTTTGCATCGAGATTATAATGGATTACTTGGTCAAGCATTTAATTTAGATAAACTCTCAAATTACAATTTAATTACCATAGAGGAGATGAAATTCTTTGTTAAAGAGATCAAAAAAACGATAAAAGTATTCAAAAATAATATTAATATTAATGAAGCAACTGTTTGGAAATATATATCTATTTTCATGAAGACCACAGTTGATCATATTCAAATGTTTATGAACAATTCAGCACAATTATACGTAGAAGCTAATCTTTATGGATCTAAAGGGTATGGTCCCATGGACTATTTAGTAAAACTCGACAATTTTGCGGTACTAGTCAATGAGGCCAAATCGGAAGATTTAACTAAGGAAATAGCCCAAAACATTATGCAATTGCACAGTGCATCAGAGGTAATTCCACTATTTTTGTATTTATTTATTGTGCTTAGGGTAGACCTAACTATCGATGAATATTTTCAGAGTTTATTAGGCAAGCATAAGTTAGAACAGACAGAATTTGAATCATCGCAACAACAATTGTTTGGAATTGTAACAACTGGGTTTCTTGGTATTTCATTCGCTGGACTGGTTCTCTGGAAAACCCTAAAGTTGAAATCTCTCACCAACATAATTGTGGTTTTGAAGGGGAGATGCAGAGTGAAAAAAATGTAGTTTCTTATATTGTTCGTATACTAGAAAATCAAGACGATATGTTAAAAAATAACTCAAAACGTGTATGTAGAGGCTAAAGCAGGCAAAATAGTATATGATGGAATAGATTTATGTTCTCTTTCTTTTCGAGTTTTTGAATAAGAAAGTTTTTTGTAACAATTATTATTAATAAAAATAGCTTTACTTTGAGAAATTTTTGTGGCTTTCGTGCTATTTTTTCTGCAAATCAAGGGATTTGACTTGCTTCACAATAATAAAGCGAATGCTAGTGTCTACAAATTTAACAATTTTTATAAATTTCTGCAGGCACGTGACCTATACCAATGATTCTGTCAGTTTTATATGCAAATATCTTTATTACGTGGATAAAATTATCACTATTGTTATTACTACTACATCACATTTAATAATTGTGGTGGATTAAAGTGAAATCAGAAATTTAAAATAGACAAGCTACCGAAAAATACAGATTTTGAAGTGCATTTTTTTAAAGGTAAGGTTTAACTTTAGGGGTAGAATTTATAGTAAACAAGTATAAGTGGGTTTTAAATAGAAACACCAAATTTCATTACAATAATTATTCAAAGTCAGATTAGTCAAACTGAAGTTTCGTTTCTTCCTTTAGAAAGTCATTACATTTATATCGCTTATATATTCCATCCGCCACCTTTTTGCATGCTTTGCAATATAGATATGAATAATGATTGCATTCATCACAAACCTTACACCCATGCTTCCAATCTCTAAAGATATACCACTTTTCGATATAATTTCGGCTTTTTTTATTTGTATATATATTGTTATGATTTTTTATCATTGTTGTATTAATAGAA